ATACACTTAACTGTTCTCATTTATAAAGGGGTATTAAAATATTTTCTCCTCTGCACAGTTGCTGCAAGAATTAAATGAGATAATTCATGTTAAATGCTTGGTTGCTTACTACATGCTATGTCTATCTCATTTAATCCTTTTGATAATTTTCATCCTAATTTGAGGATTTTAAATTGAGTAAATTAGAGAACTTTCATTTGATCCTCTACATTCATTTTTAGATAAATCTTGTCTATCCAGAACTCTAGTGAAATAAGACCATTTTAGGTCTATTTGCTTGTTTTAATGACTTCTGGTTAGTTTATGATGAATGGCACCAAATACCTGCAGGTGGATTACATCATACAGGTGTTTTCTCTGTTTCTGCTAGATCTGGACATGTAATAATGGTGTTCTCAGAATGTGAGCCTAATACAGCCTTGGTCCAAATGTTTGTATTTAAACAAGTAACTGGCTCATAAAACTGCTTATAAACACTGCATTCAATGGTGAGCAAGCAATTGTCACCAAAATAACATCTTATTTTAGATAAAAGAAAGAAATATATAATGATTTCAATTTATTGTGTGAAAACTGATATATAAGTCAATTATTTGAAATGAATAAAAATAAGTAAATTACAAAATCCTATTGTTATTCTTGTGCTTGAGTTCTTGTGCTTAAAATTCTGCTTCATGGGTATGTCTTAGTCTTTCTAGAAAAATTAAATTCAGATAATTCTGATTGTATTTTATGAGGTTCTGGGGTTATCTTATTCCTTTCAGATTATAATTAAAAGGCTACAGAAAGATAAAACGTAAGCAAATATTAAGACTATCATTTGACATTAATTTGTATTGCAATGTCTAACTAAAATTTTCAATTTTCAATTAAGTTTTTTATTTTCAAGATAAGAAAGAAAATTATGCAACATTGAAAATATTAATACCTTCTGAGTTGATCAGAAAATTTTGTCATGAATCTTATAATTTATAATCCTCACAGATATGAATGTTCTTATTTGAATTAGGTTTTTTTTTAAAGATTTATTTATGCAGACAGAATTGGGTTACAGGCCAGAGCTGCAGGGGCAGTGAGAGGATTCACCAGAGACAGAGGGAGGAGCAGGACAGACAGATGGACGAAGTACACTGCTGAGGCAGCGGGCAGGTCAGGAGAGGCCTGCCACGCCATGTGGGTCAACTCCGGGGCGGGGATGGAACTCATGCTGAAGTGGCTTTAGCTTCTTAATGCTGTGTTTTAACCCGCTACACCACCAGAGAGGGTCCTGTATTAGTTTTACTAGCATTCTTAGCAGGCAAATCAGAAAATCCAAATTAATAATGACTTGAAAAGATGAATTAACTACTTACTGTTGTACTTTTTTTGTCTGCATAAAAGAAAAGTGTAGTTCCTCTTAACTCTGTCCAATAGTGTTTATATTCCTATGGAAAATAAATTATAAATATTATTAATGTATATTCAACAATTTACCTACTGGCATTTCTTTTGTAACTTTCTTCATTTCTTGTGTATTATAAAATTCTTCTTTAACTTGAAATTATTTACCTAATTTTTATGGTTTAATTTACATTAAATACTTGATTAAATTCTTCACAAATTTATTTCAGTATAAGCCGTAAGATACAGATACAACTTTAGTTGTATTTAATAAATCACCTTCCAGAACTTTGCCCAATGGTTTAAGACACTTGACTTCATGCAGTGTCAGTGGAAACTTGCGCTTGGATGATAGATCTATTAAGGACCATGAGAGAACAAGCATTCAGTATTTATCTTACAGGACAGTTGAAAGAACTGAATGAATAAATGAAGGAATGAATGGAAAGCATTTAACATAGTACATATCTCACAGTTACTTCTCAATAAATAGTACATTAAAAATATTTATTTACTTATTTATACATACAAAACTGGGGTACAGGACAGAGGTGCAAGGATAGTGAGAGGATTCATCAGAGACAGTGGGGAGCAGAACAGGCAGATTAACAAAGTACACTGCTGAGGGGTGCAGTGGGTGTGGCAGGAGAGGTCTGCTGCACCACATGGATGGTCTGCTGTGCTACATGGATCACCTGCAGGCCAGGGATTGAACTTGCCCTGAAGTGCTGTGGCTAGCTTGCAGTGCTGCACCCTAACCCGCTGTGCCACCAGGGAGGGCCCATCAAGAGTACACTTTTATATAGATCAGAGAAATGTAAGGAGTTGATAATGATAAAAATAATTTAATACCCTCTCTCCCTGATGCTCTCCAAAGCCATTGCATCACGAGTTTGATTCCCCAACAGGAGGCAGACCCACATGGCTTGGCAGACCTCTCCTGACCCACCTGCTATTCCCCTCAGCAGTGCATTTCAGTAGATAGATCTGTTAGTTTTGCTTCCCAATCCGTCTCTGGTGAATCTTCTCACCCACCACACCTCTGGCCTGTACCCCAGTTCTGTAAGCATAAATAAATAAAAACTTTAATACCATCAAAACTTGAACTTTATAGTCCAAATTTCATTCATGTGGTAAACATTTTTTCACTAATAGATTCATTTAATAATGGTTCCATAAAAACACAACCTTGAAAATTTTAAAAATATAAATAAGCTAGTCAGATACTGAATTTACTTAAGTGACAATTTGTTTAGATAAAGGAAACTTGCCTTCTGTGAAGACTGGCTGTATTATAAAACAATGGCAAGGAGGTTTCATGAATAAAGTCTTTCCATACCCAAAGACTTAGCTTCATACCCAACTATTTTAAAAAGTATATTTTTAAAAATCCCATGTTCATAGACATGTTTATCATTTTGTCCTTTGATTTAATATTAAGAATTGCTGATATGTGTTGGATAATTTTGACCTACATTAGGAATTAATGTTAAAGAAGTCACGTGAACAAAGGTTTTTATTTTATTTGTAAATATGATACTTTTATATATACTATATATATATATATGTAATGGTATTTTGTGTCTTCTTAATATTAACACATAATTATCATTTTTGTGACCAGAAAAATTTTCCTCATTTCTTCAGGATATACAATATTACTTTCTAAAATCATGGGAACTCTAACTTATCTTTCTTTTATTTGCCATGTCTCCTGGGATGCTCAAAATTATATTCTTTGTGAATTACACACTTTCTCATGTTTTTGGTAGAATTATTTTCTATCTTTATCTTTGTGGCAAATCAGGTGCTTTTTAGTTAGCTTTTGTTGTATAACAAGCCACCCTAAAACTTAGTAGTCTAAAGCAATTGACATTTTCTATTTTTCAGTATTCAGTATTTTTCATTTTCAGTATTTGATGATTCTTAGTCTCAGGATGTACTCAGCAATGACTGAATGGTCTAGGGTGGCCTCACTCACCTTCAGGATTAGTTGGGAATGCAGAATGACTGGAAATGATATAATAGGGAATATATTTGGCCTTTGTGCTCATTTCTTGCACAGGACTCCTCAAACTCTTGGGATTTTCTGGTAAGGGTGTTTTTGTTATTCATAATGAGTCCTGTCAAATCATACCTGAGTTCATACAAGTGAGTTTACTTAGAATGGGTCCCGGCATAATCTCAAACTGAGTCTGGTCACCAAAAAACAACTGATTAGAGGGTTGGAATTTTCAGCCCAACCATCAACTTCCAAGAATATAAGCAGGGTGGAGACTGGAGATTAAGTTTTAAAAATTATCTTTCACAAAGAGATTTGATGTGTTTCCAAATTGGTGAAAGCCATGAGGGTGGCACAGTTCAATTTCACAGAAATCGAAGTGCTTGAGGCCTTTTAAACTTTGCCTCATATACCTTTGGCTATTTATTTATATTCCTTATAATAAACAAGTAAATGTAAGTAAAATGTCTTCCTGAGTTCTGAGTCAGTCTAGTAAATTATCAAACCTGAGGAGATAGTCATGAGGACCTGTTATTTATAGCCTATAAGTATGAAGTATGGAAATCCTGGAATTGCAACTGGTAATTGCAGTGTTAGGGGTGGGGGGTGCGGATTGGGATGGGACAGTCCTGTGGTTTCTCAGTCACTAAATAATCTCTGAATTCAGCACAAAATCCATGTAGGCAGCATAAGAATTGAACTGATTTGTTGAATACTCCGTGCCTAGAGAGACAGAGAACAGGCTGTTGCTGTTGAAAAGCAATTCACTGAGGCAGCCGCTCCTCTGTCCACCTGTGCCTATGCTTCTTTCCATCTGCTCTTTCCCTTTGTAGGACAGCAGCCTCCTGCCTGCCCATGACCTGTACCATGCCTGGACTTCTCTGCACTGACCTCCCTCAGTGGAGGCCGCTCTCCTAAGTCCGACCCTCTGCAAACCTGTCCCTTTCGGGGCAGCTCTTCCTGCCCACTTGTGCCTATGCAACTGCCTTTTCCTCTCCTGTCTCTTTCTAATAAACTTATTCTTTAAATAAAAAAGAAAAGAAAAGAAAAGAAAAGAAAAACAATTTACTGAGACAACGGGTGTCTCCTTATGGTCTCATTAACAGTCAGCTAAATTACTCTTGTGCACATGCTGGCAGAATATGGGGCTGCATTTTCATTCTTATATAACATAACTCACATTACCTTAACTAAAGAGATAGATAAATGCATTCAGAAATTTGGTTTGAGAAGTTACTAATATATTGCTGTACTATTTCTATGATCAGGCAGCTATTCTATAAGAACCATGGGAGTGTCTGGTCACTCTTTTGAAAAATCTTTTTAGGTTTAACTTCAATTAACAAATAATAAATCAATTCAAATATATCTTGGAGATTTTTTTTAAAAAAAGCAACTCTCTTTGGCCCTTCCTGGTGGCGCAGCTGGTTAAAGCACTGCAGTAAAAAGCTTAAGCCACTTCCGCATGAGTTCAATTCCCGCCTGCCCCGGAGGAGATCTACATGGTGTGGCAGACCTCTCCTGACCCGCCTGCTGCTCCCCTCCGCAGTGTACTTCGTAGATCTGCCTGTTCTGCTCCCCACTCTGTCCCTGGTGAATTCTCTCACCCTCTGCATCTCTGGCCTGTACCCCAGTTCTGTATGAATAAATAAAAAAAAAAAAGCAACTCTCTTTTAAAGACTTTCATATCCTGTTCAGTGCCACTGTATTTTGGAACTAGGATGGTGGGAAGGAGAGAGGGAAACATAAGAATGTAAACATTTTGATTGAAGAACTGAATCATAGTTCTGTAGTTTTACTGAATTATGGCAGCTAACATCAAATCTGAGTATCTTTAACTATGATTCTTGAAGGGAAGGAAAGCAAAAGAAAACCCCGAAGTCAAAGTCTACCACTCTGTTCATCTTAATTAGCCTTGTTAGTATTGACCTGCCATAAGATAGAGAAACTAAATCATTACTAGTCTGACAAGGTTTATTGGGTTTTCTCTGTATGCACATGCAGATATTTATCTGTGATCCTGAGAAAAATCAGAGATGTTTATTCCCGAAAGAGTGATGTCTATTGGGTAGAACTAGTGAGGGAAAACTGGAAGTTGTATTGGCAAATCAGGGGAATTATTAAGAGAGAGGCAGTAAAAATAAAATGAAGTGAGAAGCAAGAATAGAGACACTGAATTTTGAGTAAAAGCAGCTTCGAGGAAAAGTTAAGATTACAAATACTGAAAGGCCTGTGCCCTGTAACCTAAAAATAGATCGAATTTGTATCGGTTGGCAGAGACCTGCGGATCACAATCTTGACTTCATTTCTTATAAGCTTTCATGAAGTCAAGTATAACCAGTTATCTACAAATATAGATGTCAATACTCAACAACTACAGAGATAAGTATTTAAAAAATAATTTTAAAGGGCATATTTTTAGATAAAATACATTTAGCATAATGTTTCATAATTTTTAGCAATTGTGTTGAGTTGTTGAAGAAAAGAAAATGAAAAGGGACCTTTGAATTTATCTCTAGTTTCCTAAGCATTGGATGACCTTCGAGTTAAGAGTCACTGTGTTGTTGTCATTCAATTAAAGAAATGTATTTGAAACTCCACTGAAGCTCACTGTTGGGTTCAGTATGCAAAGTATGGAAGCTCATGAATAATGGGATTAGAACTTTATTTTGAGAGTTAGCACAATGCCAAGTACTTTGCGATAAAATTCTTCATAGAAGTGTAATGGACCAGAAATCTTAAATTTAAACTCTGTGAGTCACAACTGACATTTGGGAAGTAGATGAAAGAGTTTCTACCCATAAGAGGATCAGAGTGCAAGGACATTAACAGCCTAGCAGAGTAATTATCCATTTTACAAAAGAGGAAACAAGTTTAAAGACTTACAGGAACTGCATGAGTTCCACAGAAGGACTGATATTTTTATGCCTTCTGGCTCATCAGTGCTCTTTTCTCACTGATGTTACTAATAAAAATGTGTGACAGTCCGAAATCCTGTTACACCCCTTTCCATCTTCCCTAATGAAAAAGCTCTCATTCTTCCTCTTGTGAGCTAATAAAGTGCTTACTGCTTGAAAATCCCTCTATTTCTGTAGCTTTTTTTAAACAGTATTTATTTTCAAACACTATCATCATGGCTCTTCTTTGAGTCATGTTATTTGTGGACTCAAAACTGATTTTACTATTATTTAGTATCACATGATTGGTAGCAATATGATAAACAATGAAATGGGAAGAAAATATGCCTAACTGCTAATGTAAGCCAGGTGTTTTACATGCATCCCTTAAATCCTCGAAACTATCATCTATGTAAATATTATTGTCTACTGCTCTCTTCTTCCTGATTTATAACTTAAAGATACTTGCTAATTTTACCAGAAATATTTATTCCCATAGTTTATAATTTCCATTTCAAAGCATGTTTTCTAAGAAAAAACTGAATAACAATTGGGTAAAGGAGTCATCATTCCTTACTAAGCCTTTTAAGTCTATGTTTCATTATCATTTTGTAGAACTGAGTTTGATGCTTGGTTAAATCATACTACCAAGTCACATGATAAATGTTGTTTGAGTGAATAATTGATTTAGTGCCCACTATATCCCAGGCATTGTATTTTGGAACAAGTCATAGTCTTTCCATTTTGTAATTGAGAAAATTTATTCTGAAGGAGATTGAGTAGCTTGTATAAGATCTCAATTGAAAGTAGCAAAACCACCAGTTAAAAACTTGTTTTACTGATACTCTAGAATCCTTATTCTTTCTCTAGCCATACTAATGGAGGACCTTCTTTAGTATTAAAGGAACCTAGTAGCAGAAACAGTTATTGTACATACTTTGGAAAACAGTGAATAATCATATTTAAATAACGAAGTAGAAATTTCTTCCTTATCCATTCATTCCCCTTTCTGGCAAAAACAGTGTAGATAGCCCATGGCGACAAGACTGAACTAACTTCTAAAACACATAGTATCAACAAAAAAAATCCAGCATAAGTGTCTAATATTACTATTATATGTTTAACACCTGTAACAGAATCCGAATTACTGTATTTTTACTCTAAAATAGTGATTTGATTATGTATGCAAGAAATGTGAATGTATTATTATAGAGATTTTTGCATAATTTTAAAATAATAAGTTCTCAGAAATATATTTGATTATAAAACATTTTAGGAAATTTCTCAAAATATTTATCTTTTTTACTTTCAGTTAATAATAAAATGTCATAAGATTTGACCTGTGCTAATGTTTATTACTCTGAATACTTTCAAATTATCTACAATTACTATTTCTAAAACATTGGTTTTAAGTAACTGCCTTTTTTCGCATACATTTTAAAAATACGTAATTTTCTTAATGTGAGGGCATTTATGTAGCTTACTGAAGTACTACTCACAAAGAGCCTACATATGATCTTTCAAAGTCACTATCTTGAGTAATGTCAGTCAATTTTATCATTTCAAAAATTTTTTTTTTAAAGTTTTCCATTTAAAACTTTGGTCTTCCATTTAAAAAATTCTGACCTTTAGCTGTAAACGTCAAAAACTGAGAATAGGAACAGAAGTCATAATTCCCATTGTACTATTTTATCTTCATGGTAAATGTCATCATGGAAGCACAGTAGTTATTTGCAGAGAAAATCTAGGCAACATTTTACCTTTAAAGTCAAAATCTTCTGTGAGGTTTTAGTTAATTATTCATCTAAGTATATATTTAGTTTATTGATTTTTTTATATTAATGACTTAAAATTAAAACTTCGTGTTACACATAATATGTACCAATATACACATGTTCAAGACTTACATTGTATTTAAATTATGCCAAATTGGAATCTTATTTCTGACTCAAGGAAGATAGTGTAATCTGAACAAACAAGGAAGTACCAGTCATTTTATATCATACCATCATGAACTAAACTTATATTAAGATAAAATTTTCTAATTTACCATTATCATCTATGGACTTACCTGATATTCTGACCGTTTCACTAATAAAAAACCTTCGAAGTACAAGGGTAGAGCAGTAATCTTTAACCTTTCTTGGAAAATCCTTCGAGGGGCTGGTTTTGGGGGCTTAGCCATCATACTTTCTTGTTAATGTGTGGTTTGGTTTCAGCTGTATCCAGTCTAAAACGAAATGAGATCTCCCTTGTGTGAGAGGAAAAGGCAACTGTTCAAAGAGGAAGTCCCAATTCAATTTTTTAACCACCAACAGGACACACCACACACACACACACATTTACCCACACACACACTTACCCACACTTTTTTTTTCTTTACTTAGTGTGAGGTAAGAAAGAACTGGCTTACACCAACTTTGAGAGGGCAATCTCTGAGTAAACTACCTATTCTTAGAATTACCATAGCAAAATAAACAAAAGATTAACATCACAGAAGGATGAAAGGAACAGATGTCGATATTACAGACTTTAGAGGACACAATAAGGGCACATTTTTCCCCCACCTTTTTCTATTTATTGCTTCCATTTTTATGTGAGAAGTCACAACTTGAATTAATTCCACTCCATTAAACATTTCTTTATAGGATAACTTTAAGTAGTTTGTTGTAAATATTTCAACACCAAAATTTGTTTAAATTTTTAGAAAAATGGAGTTTCTTATCCCATGTCTATTTTGGTAGTCTACTAAGTAGTCCACAGTTACAGGAATGTGGGGTTTCCATTTTTGCCAGTATTTTAAGATTATACAATACCAGTGGACATGTGGCAAAATATGTCTGGCAGAAAAGGCTGTAAGCTTTCAAACATTTAAAAAAAAGATTTATTTCATTTATGCATACAAGAACCGGGATCCAGGCGTCCAGGCTGGAGGCGTGGGGTTGGGGGCAGGGGATGATGAGAGGATTCACCAGAGACACAGTGGGGAGCAAATCAGGAAAATCTGCTGAAATACACTGCTGAGGGGCTCAGCAGGCGAGACAGGAGAAGTCTGTGCCATGGGGGGCAGCTCCCTGGCTGGGGATCTAACTCATACCTCAGTGGCTGGAGATAGCTTGATGATACTGAGACTTTAAGCCCAGTGCCACCAAGGTGGACCAACTTTAAAAATTTTATTTTATCCTTTCGTGCTTTCTGAGATGTGACTCATTGGTGCTGTGATGTACAGACGTGACTCCAACAGTTAATCTAGCCAGATTTATAGAGCTACACTGTACCTAAAATGCATGGATTTTATCTACCACTGTGCAAGGAATGATGGGGGAAGGGGACATGGGAATGAATTTTGCTGTGATTTGCATGGGTCTTAAGAAGTTCCACATTTCCTATTGCACACTAAGAAATATGCTAGATTTAGAATATAACCCAGAAATACTCCAGATTTAGTATATAACCCAGTCTTAAGAAGTCTCTCAATTCGGACAACTAACATTTAGAAATCAAAACACGACAAGCATTTCCAGTTTGAGTTTACTTTCCTACTGGAGAGGTTACAAGGTTTTCCTCAGCAGTATGGTCCATGGGCTCCGCAGCAATAGCTATGGGGAGCTAAGTAGTCTATAAAGCAAAGAAGATCAATGTAGACTGATTATGAATAAATCAGAGAAGAATATTCAGAGTTTTCAATACCAAAGTGAAAACTGTCTGACACATAAAATGGGAGCTGAAAATTCAAGTTTATCAATTTGCTATTATATCTATTCTGCTTTCTGCTATTTGCAACTTGAAATTATAAAAGTCCAACTTCAAAGAGTCCAACTTTTGGGAGACAAGCCATAAGTACTTTTTATTTTTAGTCTCAATATAATGAAAACAGCCATCTAGTAAATTATGTCTTTCTTACATTTTTAAAAATAAACACAATTAACCAAAAACAGATTTATCAACATCTTTAAGTTGCTTTGGGTCACTAATCTGCAATGCAAATTAATTTACAATGACTCAAATAGGTCTTCCTCCTACCTCCTACCCCCACCCCTTCACTTCACTTAATATTCATTGATACTTTTTAGGGGATAAGGTGGATTGGTGCTTAACATTCATTTCATTCTTTGCTAGTGTGCCATTCTTTACATAAGAGAACTAAAAGTTAAAATGATATTCCCCAGACTTCTTTACAGCTGTAGTTGGGTGCATTCCATTTAGCAAGAAAGACAGAAACAGAATTGATTCTTATTGAAGTCCTGGAATTTTTGGAAGTAAGTACAATCTGAAGTTATCTAATTTTTCTGTGGCAATGTTATAAATTAGCCTCCTCACTAGTTTCATGGGTATTAGTAATGTAAGCATGGAATATCAGGTTTCCATTATAGCATGTATTAGATATAGATATAATATAGAAAGCAACAGCAAGAAGCCTTTTGGTTACTAAAGGATTACAGAGCTTTCTTTGACAATGTATTTTTGTAATTGCTCTGGTTCCCTGATTATGCAGTGCCATGGAGGTTCTGGGTGATAACCAGCATTAACACTAGCTTCCCAATTTCTCATTTTGTGGCAACAAATAGATATTTCCTGACTGTATATGTAGCAACTGAATGCCAGAAATACAAAGTTTATCTTCACCTCCTGACAATTCCCAAAACGGATATATGTATATTATTAGATCCCTTTCTGCTTAAACTTATCACAAATTATTCTTAACAACTGACCCTGATCAATGCAGTTTCTAGCTGTCTATAGGAATATGTGCCAATTATCCTAACATTTGAAGATGTTTCTTGATCTAGTTTCATTTTGCAAACACTTGGCAGTATCTTACAATTTTTTTTCTGTCAACAGCGTATCATTTCTGCTGCATGTCTTTACTTGAAGTTTATCTTTCTATTTCCTTCATGTCATAAACTTCTGTTAGGTCTTATGGGCACATTACAGTTTTTGATATTTTATTGTCTATTAATTTACAAGTGCTTATATACCATGTGCTACTTTCTCATTTTTATTATAAATAGAAAACATATTTTAGGCAAAACAGAAAGACTTTAAAAAGAAAATCACATACTATTTTGTCCATTAGCACTGTCTGGATGGCGTACTGTCAAGTTTTCTCTATTTATATATATTCATATATTTCAGTTAATGCTGAACTTGCTATGATAAACTACATTTTTCATATATGTTTTAGAGCATACCGCCAAGTCAACATATATAAATGGGGCCTCCCTGGTGGCCCAGGGGTTAAGTCTCAGTGCTATCACCTCTATGGTATGAATTTGATCCCCGGCCTGAGAGCTGGCCCACAGAGGAGAGGTCCTGGTTCCTCGGTCAAGATGGGGATGTGGGCTCGCCCTGAGTTCACCACTTTGGCCAAGCCAAACCTCCTGACCTTGTCCACGAGGCTGAGGTTGGAGATAGCAGAACTGTCTTGCTCACTGCTCCCCTCAGCAGTGTGTTTCAGTAGATCTACCTACTCTGCTTCCCATTCTGTCTCTGGTGAATCCTCTCATCCCTGCCCAAACTCTGACCTTCAACCGAGTTCTCTATGCATAAATAAGTAATACAATCTTTTAAAAAAGACTTTAAAAAGCATATAAATGTACATACTTTAATTTTCTTACTACCATCTAAAGTAATTTTTAAAAAAGATTTATTTATTTATCCAGACAGAACTGGGGTACAGGCCAGAAGTTCGGTGGGAGGGAGTTAGAGGATTCACCAGAAATAGCGAGGGGAATAGAACAGGCAGATTGATTAAGTACAATGCTCAGGACAGCAGCAGGCAAGATAGGAGGTCTGTCTCTCAATGTGGGTCATCTTCCTGCCGGGGAATTGAAATCATGCTGTTGTGCTGAAGCAGCTAGCTTCATAGTGCTGCACTTTAGCCAGTTGTGCCACCATGGAGAGTCCCCCCATCTAAGTAATTTAAGACTCTGTAAGATTAACATTATAATATAGAACTATTATTGTTTCTGAAAATATGATTTAAATGAAAAAAGATCATTTTATAAAGTATGGATTATATTAACTAGAAATAAACTATGCACTGCAATAGGGCAGTAGTTGTTTTAAGAGGGACAATGTGGCCCTCCCTGGTGGCACAGTGGGTTAAAGCACTGAGAACCTAAAGCCACTTCAGCATGAGTTCCAGCCCCACCTGCCCCAGAGGAGACCACATGGCGTGTCAGACCTCTCCTGACCCGCCCACTGCTCCCCTCAGCAGTGTACTTCGTAGATCTGCCTGTTCTGCTCCCCACTCTGTCTCTGGTGAATCCTCTCACCCTCTGCATCTCTGGCCTGTACCCCAGTTCTGTACGAATAAATAAATAAATCTTTAAAAAAAACCAGAATAATATGTCAACTAAGAATAAGATGATAGACACAAAGGTACAAAGGTAATTTAGTGAAAGTAAAGGTCAATCAACTTATATAGCACTTTAAAATGAGACTCCACTTGGATGTCTGAGACAAATTGCATAGTAAAACTTTCTTTGAACATTACTGCCACCTATCAGCACGCTGTTAGTATACACTTTTTAACTTGGCAATTACAGTCTAGCAGATTCTATTTGAAGATAATTTTGTTGGAAAAGATTACTTAAAGTGTGTATACCTTGCAGTTGGACCAACAGTTGTCAACATATAGTAGAAAAAAATAATTATAATTTTATATAATATAAATATCAATGATATAAGTAATTTCATTTTACTTAGTATGAAGCCATTCATCTTTTATAAGACTTTCACATTCACTTTGCAATCAATTAACACTGTGTTTTGTCTTGTTCTATAATATTTAACAGTCATTGTGAGATTGTCCCAAAATGATGGACAGACGCTGCTCATGTTAAGTTGTGGGAAGAAGGTGGAATTGGAATCAATTTTTAAGTGGTTAATTCAATTGTTAATATTTGTGCAACAACTTTCTGTTTCTGTATGGAAACTTGTAAGTGAAAAGAGTTTGGCAATAAATACTCATACCATAATTATTTGATGGAGGTAACTTAGGAAATGTGACTCAAATATAATCCTTTAAAATAAAAACTCAGAGCAATCTGTAAGGACCTATTGGAAAGCAAAACTCCTTTTTACTGCCATCTGTCTAAATATTGCAAGCACATTTTATTTTCTTAGCAATTACAGTGTAATAGACTATTTGGGGATAATTTTGTTAGAACAGGTTACTTAGGCTCTCCCTGGTGGCGCAGCCGGTTAGAGAACAGCACTAAGAAGCTAAAACCACTTCAGCATGAGTACAATTCCCTGCCAGGGAGGTGACCCACATGGCATGGCAGACCTCTCCTGACTGCCTGCTGCTCCCCTCGGCAGTGTGCTTCATGGATCTACCTGTTCTGCTCCCCACTCTGTCTTTGATGGATCCTCTCACATCCCCTGCTCCTGTGGCCTGTACCCCAGTTCTGTATGCATAAATGGATAAATCCTTAAAAAAAAAAAATAGGTTACTTAAAGCGAATGTACCTAATAGATGGCTTTAAGAGAAAACCAACACTTGGCTTTAAGAGTGAAAGAAATTATTGAAATTTCATATTAAAAAATAAGACCCGGGCCCTCCCTGGTGGCGCAGCAGGTTAAAGCACTGCAGTAAGAAGCTTAAGCCACTTCCACATGAGTTAGATTCCCTGTCTGCCCCGGAGGAGATCCACATGGCTGGCAGACCTCTCCTGACCCGCCCGCTGCTCCCCTCAGCAGTGTACTTCACCTGCCCGCTGCTCCCCTCAGCAATGTTGCTATTTCAGCAATAGAAATAGATTTTCAGTGTCATTTTTAAGATCTGAAATATTCCTTAAATAATTACAACAATTTACAAATTTGAACTTACCTACATAAATGAAAATTTCCTCTTCCTTTTAAATTAAATTTCTGAGTATTTTATCATACACACACACACACACACCCTTCCTAGTTAAGTAATAGAGTTTCAATGGTAAACTCTATTCAGTCAGTTGTCATAGCAGTTCATAAGGAGCAACTGTTACAAGGGGTTAGGGGTACCTGAGGGTCCCCAAACCTGCCTGCTCTAAGTAGGTTCTGCCATCCAGCCACCTCATCAAGACAAAATATACTTTAGTGTGTAAGTCCTTTAATGAAAATGAACTTTAATATAATTGCTGTGCAATAAAGAGAAGGGGAAGAATACACAAAATAGTTTCCAAACAAAGCACCCAAAGTTACCCCTCCCTTTATGTGTAAAGGCCCAGTTAAGCAGGGTTGGCTCAAATCTGGGCCACTGAGGACCAAAAGCATGACACACATCTAAGACACCTCCCAGTGGGGACCCAGTTGGAATAGGGAAGGAGAAGCCAGCATGTCTGGGACAGAAGGTGCAAAATCAAAGTCAGGACACCTCTGGCCTATACCCTAATTGTTGTACACATAAGTAATCAAAATAAATCTTTTTTTAAAAAAGATAAAAGCTGCAGTTGTTAAACTGCCCATGAGTCTCTCACCCATATTTGTTTCAACCAGCCCCAAACCACGAAGCAAGTGTAGCTTCTTTACATGTCTCTCTGCTATATGTATCTTCGCACCGTCTCCTTCTGGCTCTCCATTCTTCCTTCTCTGTTTCTCCTCCTCCATGCTCACCTCCACACTTTCTTGGGTGGAACAGAGAGCCTGCACCATCTTCTTTATCCACGTATCACCCTGTTACATGATCTTGATGTACTTGTGAGGGGAGAAGGTATGTAATGACAAACTTAGGGCTTATTAACTTTATTTCAGCAACTGGCAACACTATTTTAGTACACTAAAACCATGGTGGGGGTGGGCAGGGGCTATTAAATAATGCTAGGGCAGATGCAGATGGAACTAAGTTTGTTTGTAGGACTTTACATTTATGACTATATTTTCTAAAATATTTCACTAAGAGATAGAAGTGATTTAAATGCTCAGTTCTGGAGTCAGAATAGCTGAGTTCATTCCTCAATATGCCATCTAATAGTTTTGTGGTCATGGGAAAGTTATTTAAACTGACCTAGTTTTGTGTTATGTAAGTGGGGATATTACCTATCTTGCCTCACAGTAATATTCTAAAATTAAGTAAGTCATGTATGGAGAATATTTAGAGTAGAACTTGGCACGCAGTATGCACAAAATGCTAGCTTTTATTATCTTCTCCAAATTAATGCGTTTGTTCAATAATATATTTTAATTAAATCATTATTAATAAAATAGGGCAGTTTCATAGAGTCATGAAATGGTCAAGGAAGTTTTCAGGGCATTTAATCAAGTTTCCCGATTATAAAAATAAAGAAACACCCAGGATGGTGCCAAAACTTGTAACATACTAGTTGAGAACTAAGCACATCTCGACTCCTGATCTAGAATGCCTTTCAGGACACCGTATTTAAATGATGCGTTGGCAAAGCTTTATGACAATATTACCTACAAATATTAAAAAAAAAAAGCATCATCATTATCATCACCACTATTATCTCAGAGATGGTGCATAGATGGGTTGGATGTGTGTGAAAAGATTGCGCAGGGAAATATTTTCTTTAATGCCCTCACAGTTTCTACCTCTAATCCTCTCAAATATATATTTTTAAGATTTATTTATTTATTCATACAAAATTGGGGTACAAGCAGGGGCGGTGAGAGGAAGAGACAGAGTGGGGAGCAGAACAGGCAGATGGAGGAAGTACACTGCTGAGAGGAGCAGCGGGCGTGTCAGGAGAGGTCTGCTGCACCGCGGGTCAGCTCCCTGCAGGGGATCGAACTTGAACTGAAGCGGCTGTGGCTAAGCCACTGCACCACTAGGGAGGGTACCAAACATTAATTTTACTCATTGATAGTACCATGAAGAAGTTTTACACTGGCCTCAAGGTCACCATGCGTCTCCCTAGACGTGGTTTGCCAAATAAAACCTAGTTTTTGAGCACAGCCAAGCTGTGTGGTGGAAGAAAGGGAACGAGGAAGCAGCCAAGGAGGGAAGGGCGAGGCGGGGCCACCGATGTAGGCGGAGTCATGAAGAGAAGGGCGGGTGGTGGGGGCGGTCCCTAACAGCTTTTTTCCTCTTGGGTTGCAACCGTTTTGCGCATGTGCAGCCTGTTTTAAACTGCGGAGCGCGCCGGGAGTGGGTTCCGGGTTGGGACCTAGCCAATGGGTGGAGAGCACTGGGGCGCGCGCTCGCTGACCCACAGTGACTCGCGCTCCCCGCCTCCCGCTTCTGGGTCACCGTCTGTAGCTTTCCAGCTGCTACGCCGGCGATTGGGTGGGTTCTGGGCTTCCTCGAGCCGCGGTCCCGGTGGGCTTCAGGCGCAGACCCTTCGCGCAGGCCGAGTCGGGCCCAAATATGGCTGCGTCGGGTCTAGTAAGTGCAGCAGCCTCCCTCCTGGCGGGTGGGAGTCGGGAAACCCCTGACAGCCGCGCGGGATCGGGTGGGTGCTGCGACCGCTTAGCTCTCTAAGCGCAGTCAAGCCGCGTGAATTATTGCTGTTTGAGACCAGGGATTATCGGGTGCCGATAGCCAAAATTAACTTTTTTGTTTGGTTTCCTCAAGTTTCTTGTAATGACGGCATTTTTTCGCTCCTTGAATCTGGGGATTTCTCTTTTAAGCTAGTCATTTCCTAGCTCTCAAAATAGTTTGCTGTCCATAGAGGAATTGGAACTATTTAAAATTGCCTTTGCTCAAGGTTTGCTAGTCTGGAAGTGCAGATTATTCTTGGAGTATTGTTGATTGATGAAGTTTTGAAAATACAGATATTAAAGGTGCAAGCTGTGAATGACTAAAAGGGGGCGGGAACTCATTTTTTGTTTGTTTACATGTTTCTGGTCGTCACTATTCTATATTTTGAATTACACTTAAGGTTACTATCGATTATATAACCTATAGCAACCTCTTTTCTAAACTTGTGTTTGCTACTCTGCCTTCTTCCCCTTTTAAGAAAGTCTTCAATTTTATGGAACTCCCTCCCCCCCTTATTTAAAGATTTATTTATGCACAGGAGAAATGGGGTGTAGGCCAGCGATGGTGGGGGGAGCCGGGTGGTGAGAGGATTCATCAGAGACAGTTTGGGGAGCAGGACGCGTATATTTATAGAAATACGCTGTTGGCAAGACAGGAGAGAACTTCTGTGTTATATGTGAGTTAGCTCCCTGACCAGAGATGGAGCTCAGGGTATCACTCAAAGGATAGTGCTGAGACTTAACCCCTAGGCTATCAGGGAGACCTTTGAACTCCCATTTTTATAAAGTTATATTGTGTTTATGTATACTTGTTTGCGTGAGGGATGTTTATAAGTGTGGCATTTCATTTTACAGGACTTTCTCCTCCCCTATCGAGTTTATTCTTAGATACTTCATTATTTTTGATGAGTAAAGTTGGCCTTATACAATGTACTTGGAAACATGCCAGTTCATCAACTTTTTGAAAGAGTTTGAGAATATTTAAGTTTTCTTTGAAGGTAGAACTACTAGTGAAGCTGTCTGTCCTTGTGTTTCTCAGTTTTTTCTTGGTTATAGTTTCAGGTTGCTTCTGATTTGTTTGTTCAGGTTTGCTTGTTTTCCACTTACTCTTGGAAGGTTGGATGTTTCTAAGAATTTGTCTATTCTAGAGTATTCAGTTTATTGGCATTGACATATTCATGTTCTTAGTGTCTGTTTTTCCTGAGCTGTGTGTTGTAATTCTCTTGCATTCATAATGGATTGGGTCTATTAGATTTTCTCTTTTTCCCCATGATTCTAGCTAGAGGTTTATTTGTGTTGTCAAAGACCAAACCTTTGGTTTCTTTGATATTTTGAACTATCTTTTATTTTTTTTCCATGCTGATCTTTGTTATTTCCTATCTTCTATAGACTTGTGGCTTCATTTTTTTCTTCTTTTTCTAGTTCCTTTGGTATAAGGTTAGGTTATTTGAAATTTGATTTTTCTTGATTAGGCCTGTGTGGCTATAAACTTCCCACTTAAAATTGCTTTTGCTGTATCTTATCGATCTGACAGATTTTGTCATTATTTTTAATTTTTTCTTTGATTTCTTCAGTAGTTATTCATATTGTGGCTTGTTTAGTCTCAAGGTATTTTGGATTTTCTCTTTTGATTGATCTCTGCTTTCGTATTGTTGTAACCACAGAAGATATATGATATGATTTCAGTGTTACCAAATTAAATTTTTGGCAACTGAGACAAGTTGGGATTTGATGATGGAAAGCTCTGAGGGAGGGAGAGGAGAAGAAGGAAAGAGTAAATCCCAGGATGAAAATTTAGTATAGACAAAGATTTGTAAACTGTATGTATGAGGTAAGTTTTCTTTCTCTTGATCTAGAAGCAGTTAAAAAACCCTTGCTGAATGAATTCAATTCCCAGCCAAGGAGGTAACCCACATGGTGTGGCAGACCTCTCCTGACTTGCCTGCTGTTCCCCTCAGCTGTGTATTTCAGTTAGTCTGCGTGTTCAGTTACCCACTCTGTCTCTGGTGAATTCTCTCACCTCCTGCACCTCTGGCATGTACCCTAATTCTGTATGTATAAATAAATAAATTAAAAAAAAATACTTGCTGAATGAATAAATAAAGACCTTTCTGGTGTATGCTCATACTGGGTTGATGTTATGCAGAATGTAAATTGCATTTGAACATATTTTAAACAAGGAAACTGATGATTTACTTTTCTTTTAGGATCATCTCAAAAATGACTATCGAAGAAGATTTTGCCGGCCATCCAGGTGATTTATATACTTAAGTTTAAAGATCTCCCCCCGCCCCATTTTCAAAAAGTGGAATTTTTAGATAGAGTGGAAAGTCAGTTGGCACTAACTAAGATAATTATTTTCTGTGACTGTGTGACTGGTAGTAACTGATCCTATAGATGTGATAAGTTATAAAAAAAAAACTAAATACATAGATACAAACATTCAATTAAGTACCAATAGAACAGAGGAAATTTGATAATACTGGATTGTGTCAATATTGGTATTTTGGTTGTGACAGTGTACAGTAGTTTTTGTATAATGTTCCCATTGGGGGATACTGGATAAAGTGAACAAGAGATGTTATTTATACGATTTCATACAACTGTATGTGAATCTTCAATTTTCATAGTACGGTTTTTAATTAAACAACCTATTCTAATTTATGAGCTGCTGTTCAGATTAATGATACTGAATCAAAAGTGCATTTCAGAACTTGTGAGGGAGACTGTATGTATTACTTGGATCTAGTAGCACTTTGCTCGTGGAGCCTTTATTAAACAACCATTTCAGCATTGATTGGATTTGTTTAAAATGATGAAGTTCTTGTTTTTATATGGCAGTAGTTTAAAGCAGTTATGAACTTGGTTTCACTAGGAAAATAATTGTTAATGGAGATAGTTCATATTGTTACACTTTTTTTTAATCTCTTGTATTACCAAGTATGTATTTTGTCTTCATATAATAAAAGTGGTATTTTTCATTCAGTAATTAATATTTTTACTGAGGCAGTATGTAAATTTCAAAGTAGATATTAACATAAAAATGCCTTTTGGACTATGTTAACCTTTTTTCCTTCTTTTTAGGGCACTTGACATTAATACAGAGCAAGGCCAGAACATACTGGAAATTTTACAAGACTGTTTTGAAGAACAAAGTAATACTTTATTTCTAGATGGACTTTGAAGGTTGGGATGGATGAAAATATAACTTTGTCATTTTAATGTCAAGCGCAGAAACTTCAGAATATGTAAAGCATTTTCCCAGTACATGTACAATCCTTTGTGTACCTTATGGTTCACTGAAAATAATACTGCAAAATTGAAAATGATTTGTCATTCTTTTTAGTTTGTACTAGATTCCTACAGTACAGAAATCCATAAATAATACAATAAAGTATATAAGGTAATGGAAATCATTATGCATTATTTTTTGGATTTCTGGAGAGTTAGAGGTAATATTTGTTGTTTTATAACCCTTATAAAGAAAATATGAATTACGGCAAAAACTTTGCTAAGTGCTGGTAGAATTAAAGGTATTAAGACAGAAGGCCAGCCAAAGAAATAAACACAAATAATAGCAGTGATCTCTTGCATATAAATTCTGAAAGAACAGCTAATACATATTTCTTTAGGGGCCTTCTTTGTCATTTTCAATTCTTCTAGGAACATGAAAATATTGAAGTCTACATTTCCTTTGAATTGTGTTTAAAGAGTTAATAGACTTCTTCACTTATCAAATAGTTATTTTACTTGTAACCAGCAGATTTTATGCCATGGTTTGTTTCAAAATTTCTTTTTTTTTTTTTTTTTTGAGGTTTTGCTAATGATCTTAGCACAAATTCTACAAAGTCAATATTTTATTCAACACCCAAAATAAAGGACATTTGTAATCAGTTACCAAGCAAAGAGGTAAGTAAAAAAGGAGAACTAGAATGGGTTTATCATTAAATACATTTTAGTTTAGTTATTTGTAAGTCTTATTCTTAAAATAAAATGGTATTTGCCATTGACTTTCAGTAAGATTTGGAGGCATTTTGTGGAAATTTTGTTTTGACTTTTCCCATGTTTGTAGTTGACATCTAGGAATTAACAAATGGCAGCCTTGTTTGTAATTTTTAGTTATAATCACTTTTCACTTCTTCTAAAATAATACTAAATTAGAATCTTACGAATGTAGATAAACTACTGAAATCCCTAATTCAGGTTAGCAAGTTTGTTTTTTTTCTAAAAGCAGTCAGTCTTTTTCTAATAGGGGCATCAACCTTTTGTTGATCATATATTTTAACAAGACAAGTTGATTTAGCTATACAAAAACAGCAGACTTTCAAAGAATTTTTGAAGCTAGTAATTGAAGGCAGGTAATTGAAGGCAATTAATTGAAAGCAACTAATTGGAAAGAAAAAATTCATATAGTGCTAGAAATAATACTAGAAACTTGTATATTTTCTATACCTATGACTAGTTTATCACTAGTGTCAGGATTATGAATGTCTTCTCAGTTTATGTGGATATGTCATTTTCAGTTTTTTTTTCTAGAGCTCTTTTTCCTAGAGGTCTATTCTTTGTTTTTTTTTTTTTTTTTTTTTT